ATATATGTCTCAGAAAATAATCCCGAGAAAAAAAAAAAAATATATATATATATATATACATATATATATATATATATATATATATACATATGCAGTACATAATTGATAGAAAGTGTAGCTACTAGAAAAATTATGAATATAGTAGGGGTGTACTGATTTATCGGTGAATATTTTCTTAATTTTGGGAGACAGGTGATCGGCAAATACTTAGACGTGAAGCCGATCTTATCTATCACAGCAAAGGTCCAAAGATCAAACACTGTCCTCTTCTGCTCTCCTGTGAGAGAGGTTTGACTGACAGACCAGCCCACCAGGTCAAGTCTGCAGCAACAATAGTCACCCCAGCCAACTCAGTGACTTTCTTGCTGATATTTCAGTCAAAAAAACAACAACTTTGCATCGACCAAAGTCAGAATCGGCAGGTCAGGCTTTTTAAAGATTGGAAATGGGCAATCAGCCAGAAAACTGCAATCGCTGCACCCCTAGAATATAGTTCCATAAAATAAAGAATATATTCAGAAACATATTAAAAAATTTTTTTCTTTACATTTTGCCAACCCAATAAATGTTTTATATATTAAATAACTAAATTAATAACTATTTTGGTTAGAAATTGGGGATTTTTTTTTTTTTTGGTAACTTGATTTAGTAAAATATTCTGGACAATAAATACAGTTTATTATTAACACTGGACATAAAAATAAAAGTTCTAAAAGTCTAAAAATGCTGCTAAATGCAAGTAAGGCCTCGTTCAGACCAGGTAATAAAATGCAAATATGTGACTCAGACATAAGTAGGCCACTCACACCTGGCATTAAAATCCACCCTGAGCAACGAGATGAGTTACCTGTTTTACATGCAAAGACACATCAGCTGAGCAACAAACAGGCCTACTGCTGTCATTCAGATGTGTGTGTGTGTGTGTGTGTGTGTAGGGGGAGGAAGGGTATGCTCTCACCCTGACGGTGTGTGCCTGTCCCAGTCGCACAGGGTTTGCCAACTTGACCTGGATCTGAGCGCAGTGGAAAGAACCGAACACACCCACAACCTCCAGCAGCCCGTCGTCCAGCCTGCGGGTTCAGGGCATCGGTCACATGAGCCTCACCCCCCCAAAAAAATTGGATTTCTTCTCCTTACACATTCACACCTAAGCAGGCCTCACCGAGTCGGGGGGCAGGGTTCGTCTCCCATCCCCTCCCAGAGCCGGCAGCCTCCTCCCCAGTAGCCGATGTTGCAAACGATGATGCCCTCCAGGCTGGGCAGCGCCACCCTCTCCCCGTCCAGCTCCAGCTGGGGTGGTAAACGCCATCAACGATTAAAGTCACAAGAATGAAGGCTCCATAATTAACAGTTTGGTTCCATCTTTGTTTGATAACGACATCAAATTATTTAAGCGTTTACTTTTAAACCACAATCTTCACCATTTAAGGTGAGAGAGTTCAACATCTGCAGTAATCTGTACCATAATCTGGAGATTAACAGAGATGAATCAATTGTCAGTGTTTTGGTTAATTTCTTATCAAGTTGCGGTTGATTACAGGTTACAGCTGCAGGGGGGTTAGTTTAAACCCGGGCTGATGTCATTTAAATATTTAAATATCAGTGAGTTTTGTCTTAGTAAAACTAATCAGACTGATTTTTTGAGTGCCTGCCACGCATGATGTCCAAAAAGGCAGCATTGTGAAACTCCTTAACTTAACAGAATTATAGTGCTATTATATCTGTAGAGGTCCAATATTTCCAAAGACAAATGAAAGATTTTGGAATTTTTCTCGGAATTGGCAAAGTTTAGATCGGTTGATTTCCTGATTGATTGATTTTTCGTAGTCCCTAAGCTTTCAATCAGGTTGAGGTTGAAGCCATTCCAGTAAACTGTGCAGCCAAATTATTTCAGTGTTGTTAAAACTGAACCGTAGCAGAGTCTTTCCAGTTAAAAGGCGCTCCAGAGCCTTTCTCTGCACTTAGTAAAGCTTTTGTTGAATATGTGCATTAACTACTTATAGGCTTAGTTTCACTTTGCATAAAAGAAGATGACAGTAGCCTGGCTCAGCTGAAGCTCACTGCTTTTTGCTTCATTAGGAGAGTTTATACTGTGCTCCTTTCAGCAGCTTTATTGGCTAAAATAAAAGCAGATCAGGTACAATCAGCATTGACAAAGCTTACCGTACCTCAATCCTTTTATCCAGATCTTTACATTCCTGCACTAAACAATCTTTGGTGCCATACAGAAAGTACACGGCCTGAGGGAGGACAAATAGAAAACAAAGCCACCAAATTTACAACCAGTAGCTGTGTATTCATATGAAAATACGAGTGCGGTCTAGTTTGAACGGGATTTGCGTATTCAAACCTTGTTTATGATGCGGCTGGAGAAGAATGAGGGTGTTTTCTCACGGTGGGCGTGGAAGTTGAGCGCCATCAGAGCATCCGGCCCCACAGAGAAGTAGTTGTTCATGGACAGAACCTGGAGTGGGGGGTAGGGTGGGGAGAAGTTCAGCAGGTCAGCTTTGGCTTGTAAACATGTTGGCACAGAAAAGTTTGGAAAAACTTATGTACGTATATCACCTTTGGTTTCCGAAAGTAGACCCCCTTTGACGCTACTTGGACCTTCCATCTGAAAATTGTTATTGTGCAAATCAGCAGCGTCGAAACGACCAAGAAGAGTATCCACATTCAACGTTCAAACTGTTTAATTAAAAAAAAAAAAAAAAAAAAAAAGCCCCACCTTTC